TTCTAATAAGTTGTTTAATAGTTGGCATGTTGAATCATACACATAATGGGCTGGTTTAGATCGATCCTAACCAAATAATTATGAATAATTTTTATATTAATGGATTCATAGAATATTGTATTAAATCTGTTACGAAGATAAAATCTTAAATTGTATATTTGCGTGAAATCCTTCTTATTTTTTATTCAACCGCTACAAGATCAACAAGTCCGTGAGCTTGGGCTTCTGTTGCTGACATAAAAACATCTCTTTCCATGTCTTCAGAACGGTGAAATAAACGGGTTCTTAGTTTTATAACTTCATCATATTTACTCATTCTCAGTCAATCACTCTTGCAGGAACTGAAACCAAACTGAAACTGAGAAAAGGAACAATAATTAGATTTTGTTCTTTTGGTATAGGTTTAGTTAAGATGGCGCCAAATGCCAGTGTCGCAAGTTCATGTCCCGCACCCATGCACGCAACCTCGAATGGGGTGTTCCAGGGTGATAATCCTCTCGATTACGCGCTCCCTCTTGCCATCTTACAAATACTTCTTGTGGTTGTAGTTACACGAGTTCTTGCTTTTCTTCTCCGCCCCTTACGACAGCCTCGTGTCATCGCGGAGATTGTTGTGAGTTACCCTTTTTTTTTTTTTATAACTTTTCTATTCTTCCTTATGTCCAACAAATGTAGGTTTTGATCAAGAATTTTGAAAGAATATGTTGTCAGGGTTTTGCTCTTATGGAAATTTAATAGTGTTGAATTTTATTGTTATTTTTTCAGGGAGGAATCTTGCTTGGCCCTTCAGCTCTCGGTCGCATCGCGAGCTATCGGAATGCCATATTCCCAGCCAAAAGTCTAACAGTGTTGGATACATTGGCCAATCTTGGCCTTCTCTTCTTTATGTTCCTTGTGGGCCTTGAGTTAGATCTTAAGGCTCTCCATCGGACTGGAAAGAAAGCTTTTAGTATAGCTCTTGCAGGGATTAGTCTGCCTTTCATATTAGGCATTGGTACATCGTTCGCGCTCCGAGCAACAATTTCCAAAGGTGTACAAGGACCCGCGTTTCTTGTGTTCATGGGAGTGGCTCTTTCAATAACTGCTTTCCCTGTCTTGGCCCGTATTCTGGCTGAGCTCAAGCTTTTAACCACCGATGTTGGTCGAATGGCGATGTCTGCAGCGGCTGTAAATGACGTCGCTGCTTGGATCCTTCTTGCTCTTGCCATTGCCCTCTCGGGTGACAAAAGTTCACCCCTCGTGTCGTTATGGGTTTTCTTGTGTGGCTCTGCTTTCGTTTTGTGTTGCGCATTTGGCGTCCCGCCCATATTCAAATGGATGGCGCAGCGCTGTCCCAAGGACGAGCCAGTGAAAGAATTGTATGTATGTGCCACACTAGCTACAGTTTTGGCAGCTGGGTTTGTTACTGATGCCATCGGAATTCATGCCCTTTTCGGTGCGTTTGTGATCGGGGTTCTTGTTCCAAAGGAAGGGGCTTTTGCAGGCGCTATGGTGGAAAAGGTTGAGGATCTTGTGTCTGGCCTCTTCCTTCCATTGTACTTCGTGTCGAGTGGATTGAAGACCGATATAGCAACGATCAGTGGGGCTCAGTCATGGGGCCTCCTTGTCTTAGTCATTATAACAGCTTGCTTTGGAAAGGTTGTTGGTACTGTGGCCGTTTCGCTCTTCTCCAAAGTGCCATTACAGGAGTCTCTGGCTCTGGGCTTTCTTATGAATACTAAAGGATTAGTGGAACTCATTGTCCTCAATATTGGGAAAGACAGAAAGGTAGAACTTACAGCCTATTAATGATCATCTTCATCTGTAGTTTAGTTTTTATTTGATATGTGAGTTTGGTGCTAAAATTGCTTGACATTTATATTTCAGGTGCTCAATGATCAAACTTTTGCCATCATGGTTTTGATGGCGGTTTTTACAACCTTCATCACGACTCCTTTAGTGATGGCAGTATACAAGCCAACTAAAAGATCCAAAAACTATTACAAGGATAGATCTATTGGGAAGAAAGGGACGAATACCGAGCTCCGCATCTTGGCATGTTTTTACAGCATAAGAAATATCCCCACCATGATCAATCTCATCGAGGCTTCCCGTGGGACTGAAAAGAAGGAGCGGCTTTGCGTCTATGCAATGCATCTTATGGAGCTCACGGAAAGGTCCTCCGCAATTCAAATGGTTCAGAAGGCAAGAAAAAATGGGCTGCCCTTTTGGAATAAGGAGAGTCAGTCAAACTCTGACCAAATTGTTGTTGCGTTTGAGGCCTTCCAACAGCTGAGCCAAGTCTCCATCCGTCCAATGACAGCAATCTCAGCAATGTCCGAGATGCACGAAGACATCTGCATGAGCGCTGAGAGGAAAAGGGCAGCAATGATAATCCTTGTATTTCACAAGCACCAGAGGTTGGATGGCGCATTGGAGACAACTCGTGCCGAGTTTCGAGGAGTCAATAAGAAGGTTCTCGAGCAGGCTCCATGCTCAGTTGGGATATTGGTTGACAGAGGACTTGGTGGAACCACACATATATCTGCCAGCCATGTTTCTTCAAACATAACAATCCTATTCTTTGGTGGTCATGATGATTGTGAAGCACTTGCTTTCGGAATGCGAATGGCTGAGCACCCTGGCATCAGTTTAAATGTCATTCACTTATTGCCATGTCCGACAATGACGACAAAGGCTAAAGCAATAGTCACAGTGGATAACCAAGATAGTGACTCTAACATTTCATTTGAACCACAGGATGAGAATGCACTTGCTGAATTGAAGCAAAAGCTTTCAGCCAACGGTTCGATCAAATACCAGGTGAAACGAGTGGAGAATTATTCCCAATCAGTTGCGGCAATAAAGGAGTTCAGTGGATGCAATTTGTTTTTGGTTGGGAGAAATCCAGAAGGTGTAGTGGCTAAGGCTTTTAGTGTGAAGAGTGAATGTCCTGAACTTGGCCCTGTTGGGAACTTGTTGACTTCTGCAGATTTCACAACTACAGCATCTGTTTTGGTGGTGCAACAACATCAGGGTCAAACAGTTCCTTCTCCACTATGATCTGCTTCATCAAAAGTTTGAAGACTTGAAGTGTTGCCCGATAATAATGTGGATTTGGAAACCAAGTAATCAGCTCTATCATGATAATTTTGATTGTGTTAATTTTTGTATGTACAGCAAGCGCACCATGATGTCAAATTCGATTATAACAAGAATAAAAATAAGTTATCTGATTTTGCTCTGTAATTTATCGTTTTCTTTTGAGTTGGTCTTTTGTTAATGTTATATACATTATACAAGTGGAAAAAAAATAATAATAATTCAATATCGCTTGTCAACTCTATTTTACTTGTTTATACAAACTGGTTTTTGGATTCTTATATTTACTGGTTTAACGACTATAGGCAACATTCAAGAGTCGCAGATGCTGGCAACGAAACAAACACTTGATCATCTGACTAAAATAATGTGGTCTCAAATTTTTTTTTTGGTCGAATAGATCGCCGGTGTTGCCGATACAAGGATGAATATTTTTGTTATGTTTTGCAAATTTCTAAAATGTATAATAGTTTAGTTTTAATTTAGAACTTGTGCATCCCTTCTAATAACGACTTTTTACTTAAGATCGACTTGTGCTTAGTTGCGTTGTAATGTATTTTTATTTCGGACTGATTATGCTCACTTTTTTCTTCAGTAACCTATTATTAGCTTCTAATTTTAATAAACAGTATCAAATATTTAAATATTATTATTATAAAAAAGTCAAAACAAATATGTATTTCAATCATGAAAATTATTTTTTTTAAAATAATTTTATAGCAGTTTTAAATAATCAATACAATGAACTTTTTCTTTCATGTAAACAAGAAAAGAAAAAATCTAATCCGAAGAAAATTTTCCATAACTTCTGTTTGCATTCAACCATGACCAAAACACCGCGACGAATATTTTCCACGGTAAAGAGGTTTTTTTTTTTTAAGTAGTGGCTAAATACTATTTGCTTGGTTTAAGACGTTATAAGGACATTGAGAAAACTTCTTCTGCATATTCTTCATCTTCCGGTACATAACAAGGCGATCAAACACAACCGTCTCCAAACCGCTAACCGCGGTCGTCTTTCTCACCGCCTCCAATTCCTCCGGCCATTTTTTTTGTAATCAACAGCCGATGCGATCCCCATAAACTGACCATTAATCACTTGATAAGGCAGTCCATCCAAGACCGTTAATCCAATATTCAAAACCTCTTGAATACCACCATTCGGACCACGAACGTGAAGAGCCCTAAATTTCCCCAACATCTCCTCACAATAACGGTACTTATAAACATTCTCAAAACCTCCTAGAAAAACCCTAGAAGTCCCAACCAATCTGTCCTTCCCAAATCTCCGAACGTAGTAGAACTCGAACACGAGCTGAGCAGTGCTCCAATTTTCGAGCATTTTGTCGTCGACCGCGAACACGAACTTGTCGTTCCACGTCGGGTTTTTGAAGCCTCCGACGTTAACCCTAGACCTGAGCTTCTGCTTCGGGTCTATCCAAACGACGGCTTAAGTCTTGAGGGATTTGAGGGGAGTGAAAATTGGTCGTTTGAGATCTTGTGCTGAGATTAGGTTGATCTCCAGAAGTTGGAACTTGGTTGAGCTTTTGGAGATTCTGCATGGCCTCTAATAATTATCCGAATTTGACCATTTTGGTGTGTTCGAGTCAACGTACGGTTTTGAAACTCTTGAATAGAGGTTTAGTGATCAAAGACTATATATTCTTTTTAGAGTAGAGTACAGACTCTGATTTATGCTTATGAGAAAAAATAAAAAATAAAAGACTTTCGTAATGTTACTTGAGGACTCTAATTAATCTCCCATGCCATGTTAATATTACGCATTTTTTTTTATATGAACTTGCAGGGGTATTTGCGTTAATTGGCTCTTTTTTTTTTTTGCTTTTCTTTTTCCTTGAAAATGTAAAAATATTTTTTTAGTAATTTATCACAAAAATTTATTAACAATTGAGAAATTTAGTGATTTGACGTATTTAAAATATATATTTTTAAAATTAGTGTTTATCCGTTGTTTTAAAATTTGTGCGTATCTATCATTTTTTTTTTTTTTTAAGATACATATCCATATTTTTCAGTCACTTGGACTAGCTAGTAAAAAAAAGGCCAATTTTTCCTTTCTCTATCAGCATTTTTTTTTAATTTGATCTAACTTTTTTCATCTTTAACTTTCTCATCCGCCGTCATCCTTTCGTCTTCTTTATCTCTAATTCTTTTTCTTAGAAGACATTTAGTTCATGAATTAAAATTATTTTCGATTTACATGTATTTTTTGTGAGAAGAAATACTGTAGCAAACCATGAACCATGATTCAAATCATGATATGAATTCATTTATCAAACGTTTCCTTAATCAATTTGGTTCGTCCCATCATAGCTACATAACTTTCTCTTCTTTATGTGGTCGCATACATAATGTACTAATGATTTAACATCTGACTCTACCTTCAAAAAGCCCTACTCCAAATTCAAAAAAATTAATATAGTAAACTACCCCGTTCATTTCGCTGAATCAAGTTTAGAATTCGAGTTTTGCTACAGTAAAAAGCTCTCAGAAACAGTCACATCTAACTTTTTTGTTACAGTAAAAAGCTCTCACACAACATCACATCTCAACTCGAATTAAAAACTCGAATTAGCGAACTGAACGGACTTACCCTCTACTTGAATAAAATTATATCAAAACCATACATGCAAATCTATTTGATAAAATCTGATTTCTTCATAAGTGCACTCTGCCACAACAACATGATATTAAAAGGAATATACTATTCATGTTAAAAAGAAATCCCTTGAGGATCAACATTCAGACGACGAATGTGAAATTCCCTAAATGCCCCGTCGTCGCCTCACAATAACGCCTCCTACAATTTCCCAAAACTTCCGAGCAAAACCCTAGATGTTCCGATCAGTCTATGATCGTTCTCGAATCTCGAAACGCAGTAGAACTCGAACACGAGCTGAGCAGTGCTCCAACTGTCGAGCTAGCGTTTTGGCGTCGACCACGCATGAACACGAACTTGTCGTTCCACGTCGGGTTTTCGAAAACCCCGAGGCACCGAGTACCTGAGACATGATCTTCTGTTTCGGGTCTATATCCAGACGATAGCGGAAGACTGGAGGTCTTTGCGGGAAGTGAATCTTGGTGGTTTGAGTTCTTGGGCTGAGATTAGGTTGATCTCTAGGAGTTCAAACCTAGTCCTGCTTTTGAGGATACTCATGGCTTCTAATTATTGGACTATTTTGTTGTAATGTTGAGAAGCAAATAGTGTTGATAGAATAGGAACAATATGTACGTTTATATATATATATATATATATATATATATCTGTGTGTGTGTGTATTTATCTCAGTTGATCTATAAACTTTTTTTTTTTTGAGGAATCTATAAACGTTGTTGAAGTCCTAGTTTCAGGGGCTTTATGAATCCTTGTTCTCTAATGATTCTATTTATACGATCATCAGTGTGAGCAAGTGTTAATAACAAATTGAAAAAAAACAGATCTTTTTATTTTACAAAAATGACAGAATTTTTTTTTATTTGATGAAAATGGCTTTTTTTTAATGAGTCCACGAGTGATTAACCGTCAATCAATTAATGATTGACCTATAATTTATTAATGATTTATAATTAATAAACATATAATTTATCGATTGAAATTGATTAATTACTAATTGATTTTGGTTAATTATTAGTTTATATTAATAAATAATGAGAATCATCAAGTTAATCAGTGATAAACTAAAATAAATCAGTGATGGACCGTTAAGTCAATTAGTAATTGATCGCTAAGTCAATGCAACTTAAACTAAAATAAATCAGTGATGGACCGTTAAGTCAATTAGTAATTGATCGCTAAATCAATGTAACTTGCTCTAGAAGTTCTAATTTTGGCAATTTAATGTTAAATGGGTATTATTTTACATTAAACTAGTGATAAAAAAGCACATTCGACAAAGAATTCTAACATGTCAATTCAAACCGTTACACAAATCTCTCAATTCTCCTACTCTCAATCACTTAAATCTTACAAAAAATAGAGAAAATTGATAAAATAATGCACATTCAACACTTTTACAACTTTTGGAGGTAAATTACAAAATTAGAAGAACAAACGCTACAAATATTCTAAAAATAAGAAATAGTATGTTATTAATACATAGTTATATATTTAATTATAGAGTGGTTGAAAATTATACTTTTCATGTAAAATGGGAGCGCAACAACATATTTCCATTATTCATTTTGGGTACAATTATAATTTTTTTTTTTTTGATTATTATCACTAGTGGCCCCCTGAATTTTAGAGTCATTCTCAGTTTGCTCCTTAAATTTTAAAAACTCCCACTTTACCTGCTAAATTTTAAATTGTTCCCACTTAACCCTTTTTATTGTAATTTATGTTAAAAGTATATAGAAAAAGAGAGTAATGCAATCACCTGGTCCTTCTGTTTGAATTTTTATTAAAAATAAATAGATAAAAACCACATGACCACACTTAAACCCCCATTTTTCAGTTTGATTTTAACAAAAATTAAAATAGAAGAAATTAAGTGAGAACAATTTAAAATTTAAAGGATAAAATAAGAGTTTTTTAAAAGATAAATTAAAAATGACTTTAAAGTTTATAAACACAAGTAATAATAATTTTTTTTTTATAAAAGAGGGCCAAAAAAAATTTCAAAATTTTACGGAGAAAAATCAAAATTCAAACCTAGTCCTGCTTTTGAGGATACTCATGGCTTCTAATTATTGGAATATTTTGTTGTAATGTTGAGAAGCAAATAATGTTGATAGAATAGGAACAATATGTACGTAAATATATATATATATATATATATGTGTGTGTGTGTGTGTGTGTTTATCTCAGTTGATATATAATCTTTTTTTTTTTAGGAATCTATAAATGTTGTTGAAGTCCTAGTTTCAGGGGTTTTATGAATCCTTGTTCTCTAGTGATTCTATTTATACGATCATCAGTGTGAGCAAGTGTTAATAACAAATTGAAAAAAAAAAGATCTTTTTATTTTACAAAAA